GAGGGAAGTAGGTATGAGGAGAGAGACAAGGGGAAGGGGGGATATGGGGAGAAGGATGCATGTCAGGGAGATATAAGTGAATTGAAAGATACAAATAACTAATTGAAGTGGCTGTGGTGCCTGGAGTCCCCTGGCGCATTATGACTGTTCAGTGTTAAACCATTTTGATCTGTGTGCATATTTGTTTATTTTTCATTATTTTATTTTTTCTAGTTATTTTCAGCAGAATAGGTAAGTCAGCACTTTTAATGTTTAAGTTGTATTTGTTGGGACAACTAAAAAAAAGAATGGACATACCTTTTCTACTGGGATTTCTGTTTCCGTATTCTCTGTTTAGGAAATGCTTGATTTGTTTAGAAAACAGGACCATTCACACAAATAAATATAGAGATATGATAACATAGAAGCAGATACCTATTTAAAGATTCTTAAAATAAAATACATTTAAACTATACAATACTTGCTCCGTAGGGGTTATGAATCAATAATCGTGCTCTATCTAATCTGTAAAGGTTATTCACTAAATTGTGATTTTTTATGATTAACAAATGTTAGGCTACAAGAGCTGTATTCGAAAAACTGATCTGTGTATTCAATTGAGAACAAAGTGGGAACATTTGCAAATTTGCGACTTTTTATTGTCTCATTTGGGACTTTTCAGCAGCAGATATAGGATGGCAGAGGACTGTAGCACAATAGAGTTATATAAGACAGGGTACATATATAATAACCTGTAGCAAAATGTCCAAATTATAATTAGATCACTTGTCTATTTTTCTCCAACTGGTTCACAGGTCGGTATGATTTTTTTGTCCAGCAATACAGGGATTTCATGCTAGCACTGCTAAATCAATTAATTAAGGTGATTCCGTTGACATCACTGCACATACTAGTTACAATTGATATTGAAAGAGGAGCACAGACAGTGCAACAGAACTGATTTTCCTCTCTAGTCGGTTCTCTCACACCGCACCCCTCTGTCAGTCCTTACATTGGCTTCCTGTATCCTATAGGAGTCAATTCACTGAACAATTCTAGCCCCTCTTATATCTCCTCACAGATCTATGTCCCTTCTCGGTCTATCTGCTCTGCCCTTGTCCTTCTCCTGTCCGCTGCTCGCACCCGTACGGCCAACTCACGCTGGCAGGACTTCTCGCGGGCGGCTCCCTTACTATGGAATAGCCTGCCTACTGCCATCAGACTCTCCCCTAGTCTTCAATTGTTTAAGAAGTGCCTTAAAACCCATCTCTTCAGGAAAGCTTATGGTAACCTCTACCTCCCACACCTGTCTCTTGCTCTCTCCTAAAGGGAAGCACTTTACTCTCTCCTCCAGCTCTGCTTCACTCCCACCTTATTTGATTGCTATCTCTTGTCCTATTGTGCTTTATACCCCGCCTCATATAGACTGTAAGCTCGTTTGAGCAGGGCCCTCTTCAACCTATCGTTCCTGTAAGTTTTCTTGTAATTGTCCTATTTATAGTTAAATACCCCCTCTCATAATATTGTAAAGCACTACGGAATCTAGCGCTATATAAATGGCAATAATAATAACAGAAAGCAGGATTTGGTGTATCATCAGGGATTAAAATTTCCACTTTCCACTAGCCATTGGCGAGTTAACATTTATCTCTGGTGAGTAGAATTTCACCCCTGGTGGGTATGCTATAGCTTGCAATGGCAAGTACATTTTAAGGCTAGGCTAGATCTCAGATTTGAAGTCTTGATATCATGGTAGTACTAGGGAGCTGGTATGGAATCTGGCCAGCCTCTCAAGGTAATTTTTTTACTTTCTAGTAAATTGTGTAAAATGTATCCTAGTGAAAATGGACAAATGAACTGCAAGTGTGGGGCCAAAATAGCCAATGGAAAAATTCTCAGTCTTGGCTATTTTGTCCTAAAACCTTTAATTCTTTTGTCCATTTTCCATATTGTCTGGTTTAGTGAATATAACCCTGTGTGCAAATAGAGATGTGCTGTAGAAGCTAGCATTGTCCAAGTGCTTGGCTCAGTCTACACAAAGCTGCGAGGGGTTTGAGATGGTTGGTTGCATACTTTTATTAACCCAGTTCTTGGTGTAAGTGATTTAGCAGGGAAGCAAAGTTGTTCATAGACATTGAACCATCATTCACTAGAAAAGTTTAAATCGCAAATTCCAAATCTTGAAGAATGATGAAATGTATCATTATATATAAGTGTAATTCTGGAGCAGTCACCATGGCAGACAAAGGAATGTTCCTGGTGGTTGAAATACTGATCTACTGAAAGCACCCCTAGACAATTACTTTATACATAACCCATATGTATAGATACCTATAGAGCTTCTGGCTTTCCTATTCTAATCTTCCTTTATTACAGATTCCAATTGTGTAGCCTGTGGAACCCCTATGCAGCCATGTAAATGAAAGTATGGGAAGGTTAAAAAACATCCATATGAAAAACAAATATTTGCTGGTCTCCCAAATTATTGCTTGCACTGTTACACATTATTTTAGAATAAAACACAGAGATATACAGAAATATTGTTATATCTCAATAATAGTCTAGAAATGTAGTCCAACCATTCACACACATCATGAGGTTGCACACACGCTGGATTATCCAATAAAGGGAAAATTCAAAGGGAATTATAATTTTAGGCCAAATTAGCTAATTGGAAAAATGCCATAATTTAGCTATACTGTCAGTTTGTCTACTTTGGACCAACATTTCAAATGCAATTGAATTCTCACTTCAGTGAATAACCCTGATAGTCTTTATAAATGTTTGTATTGAAAATTAAACAAGTTAGGGGTTCACAGGCATCCTGATTTGCAACCAGTGCTTTTAAGGTGACAATCCCATCAAGGTGCTTCACATATAAATGCTTTATATGTGAAGAGTGTGTCTTTTTCTTTTCATTTTACAAAAAGTGCAGCTTTCAATAGAAATTGGCACTTTTATAAATTAACCTTGTAAACCCACCTCCTCCTCAGCTGTCAATCAAACAACCGGTCTGTAGAATATTGCATATTCTATGTTTCTATTGATTATATATGGATGTGGGGATTGACATAAGTAACAGATGGTCTAAGTCACATGGCTTTCTTTGTCTGCGAACTCTGGAATGTAAGTTGGGGGTTTTGTCCTTATATGGCTAGAGTTATGCTCTGACGTCATTATGGTCATATCTATATAGTAACTGAACACAAGGTCTCTTGCTCTCTTGGCTCTCTCTCGATGTAAATATGTAAGGATGTAACTCTTCCGTCAGGAGTCCAGCAATTACCATCTGCTGTTGAACGTTCATTATCCTGTAACATTATTTGTTCTTTTATTATATATCAGTAACTAAGAATAAACCTGAAGAAACCGTAAATCAGATTGCGTATTAGTACTTTTCATGAATATAGACATGTATTAATGTGGCGAGCATTTGGCCCAAGACTATATATACAAAAGACGTATATATCAATCAACTGAAAATAAGAGGAAATTAAGAAGATTTAACATTGACGATTCCAACCAGATTTTACACGGTCCTGTTACTTCCTGGTAGTTTAGCTCAGGGGAGCTAAAGTAAAGAGTTAGCAATTACCCTGAGCACCTGTCTTGCACAAACTTCTCATTGAGCTGCATTGGGAAGTCTGTGAATGGACAGCCACAGAAAGTCTGGTCTTTTGCAAGGTGTTTTTAGCTATATGTTTTTTTGGTTTTGGGCAGTGCAGTGCCGTTTTAACATACACTAGGGAACATGTGTTAAAAAAGTGAGTTCAGTCACAGCTATGTAGGGTCATTTTCATTTTTGAGAAGTTGTGAACTAGAGCACACGTATACACCAGCACTGGATGTCTTGCTTTCTCTTTAACCCCTTGAAGACTACATGACGTGTATGCCATCCTATAGTGCAGTGCCAGTATTTGTCTAGGCATGTGATCATTGTGATAGCCTATCATAGCAATCACAAGGCTGAAAGGACAAAGTCAATAATATAACGTGCACTTTGTATCGAGCTCTGATTCTCTCTTCTTCTCTTGTCATTATGAAACAGAAAGTCAGAGACAGGCCTGTTCTAAAATGAAAGTTTGAGTTGATGATGAGTGTAAATATATACATATATATATTATTATTATTTTATAAAGCTATAAATATACATACATATGGGGATAGAAATAGCCCTATGTATTCTCAAAACAGCATATAATATGTTTGGGTATGTTAATAAAAAACAAATATGAAAATCACAGATGAATAAGCACATGGCAAAATGGTAAAATTGCCACATTAAGGACGAGGCAATGCTATAAGGGCATACTTTTTCAACTCTTTGGTGCTAACAGATCGAATACCCGTTTGGTACTGAATGGATTGTATTTGTTAGAAAAAGCACATAGTTCTCAGGAACTCTTATTCTGCATGGTCTATTTTAACCCTTCAAGACTTAGTCAAATACCTCTATACTATATCCCAATGCTGCACACCAGAGGGATCAGTTGTTCCCATAGAGACATGTTTTGTTTTAATAACTTAAAATGAAAATTCTGGCTTTTTTTAACTAGTGGCTTATGGAGAAAAGGTTAGCTTCCACATGACCCTAAAAGAAGAGTTCTAACGTTAGACCTGAACCATGTGTGTTTAATATAACTGCTGAACACACATGCTTAGAAAGTTAATGTACACGGTTTTATGCACAGTACACCGTCCTGCATACACATACACCCCAAGATCCTTGCAATATACGAATTATACTATAATATAATACATATTATAATACAGATAATATTTAGATGGGGAAAATGGTTTCATGTTTATATTCATGCAATAAGTAGAGAAAACAAACACAGGACATCTTGGAATTTTCACTTTTATTAATTTAAAACAGTAAATTATATAATGAAATAAATAGACAATTCCAGTTGGGTTCCTTTGACCTTCTAATAATACTAACAGAAACATAGCAACAGTATATATATATATATATATGTATATATATATATATATATATGCTGTCATTTACCGTAACCCTCAGAATTTCTTTTATACAAATCTGACCAATTACTGTCTGTACTGCACCCAGCATATGATCATAGACTGAGATAGAAACATATACAGACATGCGGATAGATGTATCATATAGATAGATAGATAAATAGATAGCCACATGAGATTATAATTTAGGAGCCAGAATACTGCTATTCTTAGCATCAATGTATACAGCTCTTTTACTCCTACTTAATTTCAGAGCAGTCGTGTTGATATTTATGGTCCAGGGAAGAGTGCAACATATTAAAATGTGTCATATAGTAATACAGGTTTTAGACGCTTCTGGGATTTGCCATGCCTTGTTCTAGTCATCAAATATATCTACGACTTTAAACGTTTAAGACATTGTTAATGGGACACTATAGGCACCAAAACAACGTTAGCTTAAAAAAAAGCAGTTTTGGTGTATAGATCATGCATGTGCAGTCTCACTGTTCCATTCTATGCCATTTATGAGTTCAATCACTTTGTTTCTACAGCCCTAGTTACACCACCCTGCGTGTAACTTGCACTGCCTTGCTAAGCAGATCTCATATTAGATCCTAATAAAGATCTAATATTTAAACGTCCTTTATTATACATTATGTTTAATTTAGAATTTCCTATCTCCTGCTCTGTTAATAGTCTTCTAGACATTGCATTAGCCTCCTATGTCTGGTTAAAGTTCAAATAATAGAGCAAGAGATAAAAATGTCTAAAGCAAGTTAACATCTGATTGAAAATGAAACTGTTTGTTTTCATGCAGGCTGTGTGAGTCACAGCCAGGAGAGGTATGGCTAGGGATGCATTAACAGAAACAAAAGGGATTTAACTCCTAAATGGCAGAGAATTGAGCAGTGAAACTGCAGGGGCATGATCTATATATCTAAACTGGTTCATTAAAGGGATTCTATAAGTGCCCGGAATACAAAGCTGTATTCCTGGCACTATAGCTCCCTCTGACTCCCCCTCCCTCGCTCCATCCCTTCCCGGTGGATGAAGGGTTAAAAACCCTTTACTTACTTACCTGATCCTAGCGCCGATGTCCCTTGTGACTGGGTCACAGTGCTGCCTCCTCATCCCATATGGGGAAAAATCTGATGCTGGATGTCCTCATGCAGAGCGTGAGGAAGTCCAGCGTCAGTTACCGGACCAAAGGTCCCTTTGGATCCAGGAAGTGTCTGGGAGACAACCACTGGAAGTAGACTTAGTACTGCAATGTAGGACTATGTGCAATAGGGACACTGCACTCAGACAACCTCAATGAGCCTGAAGTGGTTTGGGTGCTTATAGTGTCCCTTTAAGCAAAAGTTGTTTTAGTGCCTATAGTATCCTTTTAAGTAAAGTTTTTGAAAGTCAACTGTATTTTAATCTTTCAGAGGACAGAAAGATGTGTAAAGTGATACTATACAGAGTTATATTAATACATAAATCATATATCTCTTCTTTCTCACATTTAGTATAATTTAATATTATTAGCAACATTATGGTATGGTACATATCAGCACGAAGTTGTGTGTGGTATTGGACCGGCAGTTCAGCTTTGTATGGATTTATTTGTCTGTAAAATTCTGCAATCAATGCACAGAACAAGTGCTCATGGCTCACTGAGTGGTTCTTATTTTCTTGTACTTGATTGACAAGTAATGGCATAACCTAATAAGCAAAAATAAACTAGCCCATTCAATCTGCCCATTATTGAATCATTATCCAAGTATTCAAGTCTCTATAAAACACACAATTTATAACCTGGGGTCACTAATCCACATATTCCCTACCCACAATCCTTGGTATGTATTCTACATATTGTCTATGCCTATTCCTGTAACACATGCCGTTGCTTATTGCTCCCCCTGTATCTAACTAACATTGTGTTTTGTATGTTATTTTAAGTAATGATAGCCTCAATCAGTTTGACCTACAGAGTGTCAGCCTCTGGTCTATGAATCCCACACATTGGGAGTTATGTATAAAGATTGTTGCATTTTCTTTTTATGTTTGTACCAGTTTTGTGAGCATGCACCATTTTCTAACGTATAATTCTTTAATTTCACTCCTTATACATTGATGGTTGGCTTTCTACCTTTTCAATGATGCGACAAAATAATGCATCCTTCTGACACTTGTTCTTCCTCTTTTGAATTGTCTGCTCCTTTTTTATCCATTGATTACGTTCACAAAATAAGATTAATCAATGAGGCTTTTGCAATTTAAAGGCCCGTGAAAGAATACCCACCACTCTGACAGTAGAGGAAAAATATGTTAGAAAAAAAAGCCCACTCTTACCATTCTTTTTAATACATTGGGAGTGACAAAGTTGTGAACCAAAAGAAAAAAGACCCTTTATCGAACAGGAAAATAAAGTGACAGAAGAGGAGAGGTAGTGCATCATTTATCAAAAATAAGGAAACAAATTGAAAAATAGAAAAAGTTCAGCAAAACCAATCTCAAAGTGAGCACAACACTTTTTGTAAATAATCCTCAGTCATGTTTAACACACATTATCTTAGTGATTCACTGTGTGAAAAAACAAAACAGGTTGTAACCAAGAAAACACAATGCGGCTTCTAGAAACCCATTCAGCTGTGAGCGCAAACATGAGTAATTAACCAGAACGTGAAAAGAATACATTCTATATATACTATACACAATCAACAAATGCTAATGCTAACTATAGCAAAAGGCATTATGATGAATTATTGGGAAAAGTTCAAAATTTGCAAAAATCATGCCTTGGTTAAATCTTATTGGCTATGATATTAGTACGGCACCAACCTAAGCCCAATAAACAGCCCACAAGGTAAATCCGGATACAGTACTTTCCTGTAATCAAAATGTTATCAAATCTGTACCAGTAGAATAATGCAACCACCAAATGGTTGAATTTTTGTAGTAACATTGGTGTCTACATGGAACAAAAATTATTAGAGAACTACTGCTTTATACTTAAATTACTGAGCAACTTGGGACGACTTTACCCCATGTTCCTACAAAGTAAAACTGCTATTTCTGTTTGTCCACAAAGTTCGACAAGGGTTAGCTAGCACATGCAATCTGTTAATGACTAAATCATTATTACTCCAATTTTTTTATTACATTGTATTCAGTTGCAGGATTATTACTACTACTAGCTGTGTTTTATAAACTACCACTATTGTTTTTTAAACTTGATCTCAGCACCCGCTTATAGGCCACAATTTTTCATATCCCTGATCTAGCAGAGGTAAGTTCGCTAGTGGTTCATTTTATTACATTCAAATTCTGGCCTGCTGGTAGCGGACATGTTTGTAGAACAATGATCTACAGTTTAGGCTAAATTGTACTTCCTGAAAGTTGAATGTTTGTCCCTAGTTATAAATAAAAGTGCATTATACTTAAAATTGCTAACGGTATTACCTGTATTATACTCCAGAATAAAGAGGGGTCAGATCACATCCTTAAAAAATGAGTTAATAGATTTAGTTTCAATATATTAAAATACAGTTAGGTTAATCAAGGTATGGTCAGATTATGATCACCTTATATCAAGTGTAATGATCTATACCCTAAGTAATTTCTCTAGCACATAAGTATTGTGTACAGATTTTTGGTGTGCGCTTGTATGTTCTACCATCTTACCAATACATGAATAATTATTTGCACATTATATGATTATTGGTCTTGTTACCTGTGTAGTTTCAGAATCTCATTAGGTCTGCAAATTGTCATTGTCACGTTCCTATTCCAATGGATAAAAATGGATGCACATTTCGACCTGTGCCTTGATGTAGTATATTAAGTTAAAAAAATGTTTTTAGCATATTTTATTTTACATGAAATTTACATAATTCTAATGTAAATAATTAATTTGCTTCCATTCATTTTTTACATAACTGTATTATTTAACGCTGTGCTGGCCATTATCTTGGTTTAAGCTATGTATTATTACTTGGTATTTGTCAGTAAGTTATCTTATCCCAAATTTAGCATTTTTCACTACATAGCAATAGATCAGGGGTAGGCAACCTTTGGTACTCTGGATGTGGTGCACTACATCTCCCATGATGCTCTTACAGCCATAATGGAGGCAAAGCATTAGGGTAAATGTAGTCCACAATATTGCAGTACCCCTGCAATAGATAATGTCCTCAGAAGTTAGTGTTGCCCAAATAATCTACACATTGGGTTTCGGTATCACAGTATCCAGTTTTTACTTACTCATCTGCATATCACCTGCTCCATAATAAAATGACCCCCAATAATCTGTACATGACCTGCCTATGGCCTGATCCAGGCCCATTAACCCCTTAAGGACACATGATGGAAATATTCCGTCATGATTCCCTTTTGTTCCAGAAGTTATGTCTTTAAGGGGTTAATCTGTACATGACCTGCCTATGGCCTGATCCAGGCCCATTAATCTGTACATGGCCCTCTCGGAATTCTGACATAAACTGTCTATTTCCTGATCCTACTCAAATAATCTGATTCTGAACATTAATGAAGTCCCGGATGCACATTTATATAACATGTTAAAGATATTTTCAATCCCTGTGATGGCTAGTTTTTTGTTGGTTTCTTACTTAATAATACAAGACAAAAGCAACCTGAAGTTAGCAAGAAACAGGTCTACATCTGTTTTGCACTACCACACTCAGAATGCTCAGACAGCCTTGGAAGCTGTAGTTCCAACGCTTCTGTATACCCTTTCTCTAAACACTATAAGGCTGTAACTACAAGAACAAAACTCAATCAATACCATGAGGGCGATATCATTTATAATCTGCCCATTGATCCAACGGAAATCTAACCTTGATCCAACAGTCTGCACATAATTATATTCTGAATCCTACTTATTTTGATGTTTCCCTTCCAAATACACATAATCACATCCTGATTTTTTGTTATGGAAACTCAGTATGGGGAGAGAATGGAAGGTTTAAAACTCTCAAATAAATGTAATATATATCTAAAGTAATTTATATATATAGACTGTAAGCTCGTTTGAGCAGGGGCCTCTTCAACCTATCATTCCTGTAAGTTTTCTTGTAATTGTCCTATTTATAGTTAAATCCCCCCTCTAATAATATTGTAAAGCGCTACGGAATGTGTTGGCGCTATATAAATGGCAATAATAAATAAATATATATAAATATATATGTAAAAAAGTAGTATAAAAAAGTCAAATATATATATATGTATATATATATATATGTATATACTGTATATAGCATACACTTTTTTGTAACAATGCAAGAGTTAAAGTACAGTAATTAGGCACCTTCTGGTTTGAAAACCATCCCAAGACTAACTGAAGCAGCATGACTACTGAACCAATCTTCTGTGTTGCCAACTGATACAAGAGTTGATAGATGAGTTGACTGGGTACCTTCCATAGGAAACCCAGACGTCAGTCTTCCCCTGTGGTGGAAAGGTTGAGATGTGCGTGGCAGTCACACAGCCTTATCAGTTCTCCGTCCAACAGTTAGTCATAAAAAGCTGGGCTGGAAAAGTGATAAGGAAGTGATACTGGCATCTGGCGAAGATCTCCAGCTTTCAACTTAAATCAAACATTCCAAATCTCGGAATATCTCAAACGAAGGATGTCATAGGCCAATCCATCTCTTGGACAAAGCAGTGGTTCAAGATGTGCAGGATTTCTGTATGAAGAAAGAGCTTAATGTTAATATATTCCTGTAATGCTGAGGACTCAATGCTCACACTGTGTCCCCAGCAGCTGTCTGTAGAGTTCTTCAGGTCCCTATACCTCTATCCCTCATACTGAGATGTGAATGTGTCTCTCAGCTCTACATCCAGCCCATTCATACCTCCCTCGTCTGCCCATACCCTCCCCCAGTTGACTGCCATTGGCCCCAAATATCTTCTCTCTGCCTCAGGACTTCTGCCGAATCGTTACATTCCATTTCACTGACACTAGTTCCCTGTCCTAAAGTCGAGGGAGGAGCACATGGACAGCTAGGGTGTGATAAAGATAGTGAACTTTGTATCCTGCCTGTACAAGGTCATCATAGGTACTTCATGACTACGGCCTTGCATAAGTAACCCAACTGCAACTTACCTGCATATGCATGCGAGTAACCACGTATGATCTATATTAGCTTTATCATCTTCAAAATAACCAATGTCACAAATGACTTAGCTGTTTATAAATGGGTGTGTTCAGCATAGCCCCAAGAGCCAACATACCCTTGTCCGCACACCTCATATGTCAGAATCCATAAGCTCATTTAGGGCCTGACACATGCTTAGTTTGTCATGTTCATTAGTGCATTCTTAATGTAAGGTATGAAACTTGCTTTGCATTAACTGCTTCCACGCCACAGGTCAACATAATGTCAACCCTTAACTTACAATTCAGTATTTACTCTGCAGTTCATACCTTATATAAACATGCCTGTGGCATTAGCACATTTGCACTCAGTGGCTGAGCAGTTTAGAACTAGTGACTAGTCCATCGAGGCTTTGTATAAGCTAGGTACAATGTTTGTCTGAAACGGCCCACAACGGATAATAAACGCAGGCCTTGCAAATATCAATCATACCAAGCCTTTAAAGTCCTTATGTTTATTACAAAGAATAGAGAGATCTGAGTAGGGAGTAAAAATACGATTAATAATAGCAAATATTCTGCCTATGTTAGTAGAATTTACTTTAAGAAATAATATACTGGTTTCAGGATGAATGAGGTATTAAAAGCCAACACTCCTCTTTCCTGCCCCGCTACTTCCAAAACATGTAGTAAAGGCAGTGCATCAGAGAAACAAAGATTCACTGTCTACACATTAACCAAAGAAAGTTTGTCAGCTTTCACAAATACAGACCAGAGTGTTTTGCTCAACTCGTAACGCTTTCTTTTTTATGCTGCTTACGTTTGAAGCTGTCGCTCAGCTCCTAAATATGTCCTGAGGCCTCTGTACAATCTGTAGAGTATTGCCACCACAGAAAATACAATTTGTTAACCACTAAATTTCTTTCTATGTCTTACTGTATGTACTAAAACAGCCCCGGCTGCTTCACTGAAAACCTGACCTGTTTGCATCAATTCTTTAGGAGGGCTTTTGATATCTCTGCAGAAATATTCTTTGTGCTTTTCAGGGCAAACCGTTTCACATAATGTATACTTATCCTCTCACATATCAGCAATCTTTTATTCAAAACGATGATTTAAGGACATCTATTAAAGCAGGTAAATAAAAAATAAACATGGAAACTAGGTTAAAGTTAGTGTTTTTATTGAAATAAGTACTTCATAAAGATTGTTTTTTATTGTTACAAATATTATAACCACTTGTTAATATTTTGATTAACACATGTTGTAGAATGTCATTTTGCTTTTCTGCAGTGATAAATATAATTATCAGAATTACATTATGTAAGGTATGAATGGAAACAGATTTGCGTTACAAAGTTATGAGTGGAATTGTTTTGCAACAACCCCGCCCCCATGTGGCCAGATTCATAATCCAGGTCTACGTGGTGATGGGCTTAAAATAAAGAATTTTGATAGCATCATATGGTAGTTATAAGACTGTGTGCACTGTGTATGTGTCAAAATAATTGTATAAAAGGACTAGTTAGATTGAGAGACATAGGCAAGGCACAAAGAGTTAACAGAGAAAAAAACCACAGTCTCCATTATAAATAAAACGTACCAGGAAAGGTTAAAGGAACTTAACATGTATAGCTTGGAGGAAAGACGAGACAGGGGGGATATGATAGAAACATTTAAATACATAAAGGGAATCAACACAGTAAAGGAGGAGACTATATTTAAAAGAAGAAAAACTAAGTAAGTAAGTATTAGAAAATTGGGCAGATTAGATGGGCCGAATGGTTTTTATGTTAATGTTTCTATGTTTCTATTGTTTGGTACACAAGAAATGTGCGAATGAGATTTCCCATGAAGGCTTTTTGGGGAGAAATGATTACTAGAATAAAAAATGTACTATTTATTTAGTCCGATTATGCAGATAGCGTATAATACAGGGCTCCCAAGCCAGATAGATAATTAACTGGTAGAACCACATAAAAGAGACATAGTTGTATGTTTCAGATTTAAGACTACTTATGGCAAATTGACTCATGATGAGGATACTTTTTGCAACTAGGCTATTCTAACCAAAATTGCAACTTTTTTTTTTTTACTTATTATTTACAAAGTAAACCCAGTAAACATTTTTTTTTTAAACAGTGAAACTTTCACAAACATGTAGCTGTGGGTTTTGCTTTGTTTGTATTTGTTTTTTAATTGACAGTACCTTCAGCGGTGTTTATTGGGTTGAATGAATGAGGAACTGTCACTTTCTGAGAAGCGACGGGACTTGCTTTAATAATGAACCACTGTGACTGTGAGCTTTCGAAGAACTGGTGATGTCATCAGGCATGGCACGCTACCAGAGGTGAGAATATTATCAATCCGTCCTTCTCTTACACTGCGAATATACCGGGTTCTTCACTAAATAGTGAATTTGAAGTGAAATGCTAAATGTAAGTTGAAGTAGGCTGATTAGAAAAATTCTGCAAGTTAATTCTATTTTCAGTTCAACTATTTCAGCCTTAAACGTGAAATACACGTTCAATTCCCAGCAATCCTCACTTTAGTGAGTAACCTTGTTAGCATTGCTCCCAATATTTCAAATAGACAAAGAGGGACAATTAAATTTTAGGGGTATACTTGGTGATATGGCCAGGGTCCGGACTGTTGTGAAAAATGTTAGGTGACTAATAACAATTGCAATCTAAAACATGAACAAAGTATCTTATTTACCTAGACTGATTATTGAACACACATTACTGCTGTGGAACTCTGTTATACACTCAGACACACCAATATTATGGAGCTCCTAGAAAAGAGACACATTACGAGAGAAAAGAGGGACAGGGGAATTTGGGTTCACAAAAGGGACTGCCCCTTTTAAAATCACAACGTTCTAGGAAACACTGTATTATAGTTCTTGTAATCATCCAAATCTATCCAGTAGCCAAAGGATAAATGTATGGAAATTGTGCAGACATGACATTAAAAGGAGATTGCTGGATACCATCCTTCTTCTGAATTAACAGCAACATATCGTCCTCAGGATTGTATCATATGTGAAATTATTGTGGACTAAGAGGCCTCTTACAGAGAAAAATTACTGACACACAGTTGATTACTAACTCTCCCTTTAAACAGATTTTTAGTGGGAGACCATTTGAAGTATCTAAACTGCTTTTATTGTAGAATTGTGAACTCTGCGGGTATATAAGGGTATTGTTATTAGTTTGTGTGTTCTTTCAGTTACGAATGAAGGCACAGTTCCAATAACTTGTCTTGTGGGATATTCTCTAAATAGTGAATTGTGGTGAATTGACATGCATCTTGCAAAGGTTAGGCCATAACACATAACAGAATTGTGTTGTTGTTTTTTCCAAATTGAGTATTTTGGATTATGCTTGATGCTTGGAATTCATTGAACAGTGACTTGTGATGAGATGATTAATAGCTCGCAAAATAGTTTGCAATCTAATTTTGCAATATCGTTTTCATATCTACACAAATTACTTTCCAGTGTAAGTGCCCCGTATCTGGGATTGTATAGTATAGTGGCTTTAGATAATCTGCAAAACAAAAATTCTTTGCCATCTCGTGCCAGCGTCCATCACCAGCTGTACCAACATAAGTCGTCCTCCATCGAAGTATTAATGCCACATGTTATCCTTGCATGCTGGTTGAAGCTAGAAACAGCCCCTCTATGGCTTGTAGTAGTTCTCCAGATGCAAATTATTAACTGTATGTATATTTGACTAAAACCCATCAGATATTCTCTCCTGTAATGGCACGCTATAGTTTCTCTATTGTATTTTGCTATTCTGACACATCTTCTCTACATTCATTGTGTCAGCCTTTTCAATGTCTTCATCTCGAGCTCAAACTTTGCATTTTAAAGGACCACTATAGGCACCCAGACCACGTCAGCTTAATGAAGTGGTCTGGGTGCCAGGTCCATCTAGGGTTAACCCTGCCCGCTGTAAGCATAGCAGTTTCAGAGAAAGTGCTATGTTTACAAATAGGTTAATTCAGCCTCTAGTGGTTTTCACAGTGAGAAGACGCCAGCGTCTATAGGAAAGCATTGAGAATGTTTTCCTATGGACTGACTGAATGCACGCGCAGCTCTTGCCACTCATGCATATTTAGCCGGTGAGGTCAGAAGAGGGAGGAGAGTCCCCAGCGCCGAGGGAGCCCGGCGCTGGAGAAAGGTAAGCTTTTAACCCCATCCTCCATCTAGAGCCCGGCGGGAGGGGGACCTAGAGGGTGGGGGGGACCCAAAGACCCGATAGAGCCAGGAAAACGAGTTTGTTGTCCTGGCACTATAGTGGTCCTTTAAAGTCACTTGTAACTATGACAGCCTGTTAATAACTTCCAACTTCTTTTTTTGGTATACGTTTGTCTTGGTTCAGAGTTAATGGCTCCCATTAAAATAATGTCTCCATGCATCACACTAAGACTTAAACCATGGGCATTGCTATGGGCTTTGGGAGTCAAATATATGTTTTTTTTTTTTATTTCCCCCAAATTATTTTAGGGATCTAACTTCCCCCAGCCCCTTTTAATATCACACACTAGACCCAGATCAGCCACTTGCAAACTAGGCAAATACCAAATGGCCTATAATGAATACATACTGAGGGTCAATTAGAGAACCACATAGTAAACCATTTACACTGAGTTACTACAGCAACATCCTTATAGAGGAGTCATAACAGGAATCCCTGTGCTCAAGTTATGTAGATATCATTGCTTGTCACCAGTGTTTATATGTTATCGATGATGTCCTGAATAAGGATCATGATTCAGCTTTTAGATATCTGAAGATCCATTCAGTATTTTGAATGCTTTAAGGTTGACAATTAACTATATTTAACTTTTTAAGGAATATAATCTGTTATATAATTTGAGGGTTTTCTCCTAGCTCACACTTGGCACCAGTCTTTGTTCTGCTCCCCAAGCCAACGTGATAAAATTCAATGCTTTATTGATTATTCAGGACACAATGCAAACAAAAATATCTGGTAAAATACCAAAAATTATTATAATTATTTATATAGCTCCAACAAATTCCGCAGCGCTTTACAATGGGTGGACTAACAAACATTTAAATGTAACCAGACAAGTTTGACACACAGGAATAGAGAGGTTGAGGGCCCTGCTCAATGAGCTTACATGCTAGAGGGAGTGGGGTATAGTGACACAAAAGGTAAGGATTGTAATAAAGAAGTAGATTGGTAGAATACTACCTACTTTTCTACCCTACCCTTATCTTTTGTGCCACTCCCTCTAGCATGTAAGCTCATTGAGCAGGGCCCTCAATCCCTCTGTTCCTGTGCGTCCAACGTGTCTGGTTACAACTACGTGCCTGTTAGTCCACCAATTGTACAGCGCTACGGAACTTGTTGGTGCTTCATAAATAATAATAATAATAATGATAATAATAGTATTCACTGAAGATTTGGGTTACTTTTTTAATGACAATTGCAGGAGAGGAATCGGTTGGGAGCCATTAACAGTTTAATTGATCCACTTTTGTGAAGAAGTGAGTTTTTAATGATTTTTTTGAAGGAGTGGAGACTGTGCGTCTAACGGAGAAGATAAGGGAGTTCCACAGGAACGGTGCAGCCCAAGAGAGGTTTTGAAGGCGAGCATCAGAGGTGGGAGTACAAACAGAGGAGGTCTTGGCAGAGCGCATGGGCCTAGACGGGACATACTTGTGTATTAGGGAGGATAGATAGGTGGAGAAAAATTCATGGTTAAGTGAATAACCATGGAAGTACAAAGCACCCCAGAAGTGTCTCATACCCAGCATAGGAGTCTAATTATTCTGCTATGAAACACTAATGATGGCAGGCACTTCATCAGAGGGTGGAGTCATGTTTTTTTGGTGGTGATGATTTTGTAATAAGCTATAATGGAGGGACATATCAGGGCTAATTACTTTAAAAAAAATAAAAATAATAATATTTAGTTTTTGACGTGCATAAGGTACATTAAGAACAATGACAGAAAGGTTATGAAGGTATGTAGACATATTTCTTATACGGCATTTGCAAGATAGACGCTATATGAACAACCCTACAGGTCATAGTAGAGGGATATGGGCTCCAGAGACAATCTGCTTGGGTTGGAAGTCACAGGCGAGACTACATGGGTAAGAGTCTCTGGGTGCACTAAGGAAATCAGCCGATGCCCCTTCGTGAGGCAGGGTCGCCAGGTGCTGCAGATGGGAACTGCTTCCAGGCTTACCAGGAAAATAGCCTGTCAGGGCCCTGCGAGATATAGGACCAGGCGTGCTCCCTGTACTATTGGGTGGACAGGGCGAGACGGAGGTCGATTCTGGTGCTTCTCACCGGCATGGTGTTGGAGCTGTCTCCTCTGCCGGGCGCATATGCAGCGAGCATGTCGGGGGTTCCCATTCCCTCCACCACAGTGCCTCAAGGGTACAGGAGGGCTCGTTCACTGCCCAGAGCGGTCCGATTTCTTGGGCCCCCTTGGTATCTCCGGTGGGGGATGAGTAAATGTGAGGGTGCTCTTCGTGGTGAGATCAGCGCCTGTGAGCCTGTGGCCATGGTCCGCTTGTGCCTCAGTCTCTCCCAGAAGCCTTCACAAATTTTGTCAAATGCTGCCAAGAAGCTTAGAGTAGGCTTCGCATGGTGAACAGGGTCATGTTCCGCCTTCAGTTTGAGAGTCGTAGTGAGGTCCATGGATTTGGCGGGGGACACATAGTTCAGTCCCAGATGAAGGTAAGTGGTTGAGAATGCCGGGATAACCTTCACCGGCAGGGGGGGGGGCCGGAAAGACAGGGCTGTCCACTGTGCATCTGACTAGAACATGGGCTGAGGGATCGCCTGTCTCCCCCAGTCCCGTACTGCCAGGCCGCTACTAGACCGCAATATTGCCACTGTGGGTCGTCCAGCGGTATAAGGAGTGTTGGCTATCAGATGTGTTAGCGTGAGAGTCCTGGGTGAGCTGTCAGTCAGCAGAGGTGTGTAAGTCCAAGTTTGAGGTGTTAGAGTCGTCAAAAGGGTCAATAACAACAAAATTATTCCCAGAGCTCATGCGATGTGCAACTGTTCGCCATGCTGAGCAAGCCCCGCCTCCGAAGACTTTACTTTATAATGGGTTATTTATTAAAATTAGAATTGGTATTAATTAGAATAAATACTCCTAAAACTCCATAAGGCAGGAGTTATTTTTATACAGTTTCACAAGGACAAATCTGGACCAGTATCTGAACAAAGTCCTACAACTCCCACAACTCCACCTTTGCGATGCTACAATAAGTGTGCTATATCTTGCAAGCAGTGAGCAGCACCACTTTTGTTATATATATGGGAGATGTAGCTATCACTCCTGCTAAGACATCAGTTCCCAGGTATGGTGAGTGCATACAAGAAGGTAAGCAGGTGGATTTTTGGCCAATTCAATGTAAATTCAGCCAAGAAGTGATATTTTCACTGTGTTAGGTTATACCTCGATATATGTCTTTATTGACTAGTGGGCAATTCATCTCTCAGTTTATCTGTCATTGTAAGGAACAGTCCATCTATGTTGTTGACAACTTTGTCAGGAACTGTAAGTTTATTATTGTGTATTATTTTATATTTACCAATGGAAAGTGAATGCTATTGACAATTTTTTTCCAATTACCTTATATTTATCACCCACTTACCACCATCCCCATTTGTTATCACTTTACATAATACATATTATATTGTAATTTTATGACAGACTGAAGGCTTTAGTTAGAGTTATACATTGTCAGCCCAGGAAGCAATGATAAACTTTTAAGATTCAAAATGACTAAATAAAAAAATCACTACTTCAATGGGGCATTCTATAGAATTCAATCAAGAGCTTTGCCGGTAAACTTATTCTGTATAATGAATACCTCTTTCTTTGTTGTTCCTTTTTAGAGACAAGTGCTTTAAAGAGGAACTGTTACCTTTTTGTTGGCGACAATACTGTAGTTACGCACATAATTAAACAATATACGTAGAAGTCATTTTACCCTATGCCCGAGATTCTCATGTTAACATGTAATTAATAGAGAGAACTGGGGATAGAGCCATTCTTGGATCATTCAAAGAACCCTGCAGCATAAATTGTTTCGATCATTTCAGGAAACTCTGCAGCATAAGAGCATTTGTAGGGAATACTGTAGCATAAATGGATTGGATCTTTCAGGGAAACCAGTAGAGTTAATGGGTTGGATCATTCCATGAAACCTTGTGAAGTGAATGGGTTGGATTTTCCCATGGAATTCTGTGGTATAACTAGGTTGGATCATTCCAGGAATCCCTGTAATTTAAATGGGTTGGACCATTTCAAGGGATCCAGTGGTGTGAATGGCTTTGGCCATTCTACGAAACTCTATGATAAATGAGTGGGCTACTTACTGAGCATTTCATAGAACCTGTAGTATAAATGGGTTGGGTCCAGGGAAGCCGTAGTATAAATAGGTTCCAGAGTATCTGTGTTATGAATGATTCCAGAGATATCTTATCCCTGTGAACAGGCTGGATTATTCCAGAAAACTTGTGATGTCAATTGTTTGGGACATTCCAGGGAAATTAGTATAGACATTTTGGACTATTCCAGAAAAACACGATGTGCTGACGACTTGAATCATCCCAAATAGACTGGGTAAGTTATTTCTAGGGGCACCTGTAAAACTAGAGTTAAAATAAAATGTAAAAAAAAACACAAGTTGGGTTGGATGCTTCATGAACCATAGTTATTGTATTAAAACATTGTCTGGATGAAGCTTGCACTAAATATGTATGTCTGTAATAAAGCACCATCCCAGTCCTGTTCTATCAATAAGCTGCAGGAACCCGTCAGCACATATTCCATGTCATGACATATTTGGGCGTTCTGCTGTGCGTAGTCAGCGGCAGGTTCACTTGTTGCTATGGAGACTGGCTGTGTCACATCTTTCTACTTTTTGTCCTTGCAGCGTTTCCATGGAAACTTATTTTGACTATTCCAGAAAGGCTATTTTCATAATTTCCTGGTTGTTGAGTGATATATGTGTGTGTGCGTGTGTGTGCACATCTATGTTTGTGTGTTGTGTATTCTGTGTATGAATATATATACATGCTTTGGTATATATGTTTGTTTATATACACAAACACACAAATACATTCATATTGTGCATGTACATGTATATCTGTATCAGGGAGTATTTATCTGCCGACAAATGATTGTACTGTGTGTTTTTAAGTATGCTTTTGGTGTTTCTTAGAAACAGTGTGGGTTATTATTAGTATGTATAATCTTGTGCCATGCTGGATCTCTGTCTCCAAACATGTTTATCAATGGAAATACATGCAATCTATATGTTTATATATATGACCACATAATATGAAATCCACAGACTTTATTTGAATACGCAGTCAATATAAATAGCTGTATGAATTACTGTGCCTGTATGTAAAACATCCTTTTCAAGCAGTACGCATACGTAGACATCACTCTGATATTCATCTATTTGATAAATATTTCCATCTGTTTGTGCTTAATTCACTATCTATGATCTTGTGTGGCTATTTATTTTTGTTTCTAAAATCTATAACTGTGAGAAAGAAATTGTAATGTGATTATGCAGAGTTACTCATGAGAAAGCTTTCATTGTTTTCATCTTTTTTTCTTTGCGACAATTTCTCTATATTGTATATTGCTGTCTTTTTTTCTGTTATAGTGGAGATTGCATTGTGCACTTGTTCAGTTAAAGACTATGCTCTATCTGTAATATTGAAAAAACAAAATGTTTTATTAACTCACAATGGTAATAATTGTCTTGCAAAAATGACTCCTGTTAGACGTGCCACGTCCAAGATTTGGCTTAAAAAGGCTCATCAACTTACCTCTTGATTGTTACTTAAAATCTCAAACAATACGAGCATAACTCACTAGCATTATCAGGATTACTGGATTAATAAACCCCACTATTTCCTACCATTTAGTATTCAAGTTTGACCTTGTACTTGGAGTCTTGTGGCCCCTGGGACTTTGCTGATGATTCGTAACTATTGCAGAGTGAGGAAGGATTAAATAGTACATATTCCTGGGTTAGGAGTGAAAAGCAAAATCAGGACTAGAAGGAAAACCAGAATAATAATAATAACAAGGTATTTAACCAGGAGAGGCACATTCAGATTACGCTGGTTTTCAAGTATGTCCTGGGGATGTTACCTTAGCCCAACATCCAGGGGTTGTTGCAATTACCCAATTTAATGGTACTCATTTTATCTACCTTGGAAGGATGAAGGGCTGAGTCAACCCTGCCGGGATTCGAACCTGCGACACAAGGGATCCCAAGAATAGGGATGAGGCATCTGGAAACTATTCTAGAACAAGGATGTGAAGAGTGGCACCTGAGATGTTGGAGAAATATATCCGCATAAATCTCTGCCAGCTTATTATTTTTTCTTTTAATTAAGTGTTATTGTTATAAACCTTAACTCTAAACTGACAGAGTCCTACAAATAAATGCATAAATCACTGATATTGGTGCCGAAATAACTTCACAGTATAAGATGGCTTCATTTCAAAGTTAAAGGGACAGTACAGGCCCCAAAACAACTTTAGCTTAATTTAGTTGTTTTGGTGTATAGATTATGTCCCTACAGTTTCACTGCTCAATTCTCTGCCATTTAGGCATTAAATAACTTTTTTATAGAGCCCCATCATAGCCCTGAGATGGGCTGGATAGCTTAAGCATTAATATAGGGATCCAGTCTCCAGCAACTGTGCTCATATTTATGGGGTGAACACTAGCCTTAGCATAGTTTACCCTCACTAGTAGTAATAGGTGCATGTGACTTAAACAGCCTTCCTAAACACTTCCTGTAAAGAGAGATTCAATGTTTAAACTTCCTTTATTGCACATTCTGTTTCAATTAAAATAGATAATTTTTTGCCTTCTAGACCCTGCAGGAGTCTGTGTGGGATTAAAGTTCAATTTACAGAGCAGGATATAAAAACTTCTAAAGCAAGTTAACACCTGATCGAAAATAAAACCCTCTATTTTCACTGCCAGGGTAAGCGTGACTAGGACTACATAAAAAGAAACAAAAGTGATTTAACTCCTAAATGACATATAATTTAGCAATGAGACTGCAGGGACAAATAAAATAAATACAAATAACAAATAAAATAAAAGTGTTTTCTCCACTTTACAGGTTGCACCATCGGTGCTGTCTTTAAATATTCTCCACTCCTTTCCAAATACCATTACATTCATCTACATTTCCAGGCCTTGTCCTTTATAATTCAATCACTTATCTGACTTCTCTACTACCATCCATTAAAGGACCACTATAGGGTCAGGAAAACAAACTCGTTTTCCTGGCACTATAGTGCCCTGAGGGTGCCCCCACCCTCAGGGTCCCCCTCCTGCTGGGCTCTAGGGGTAGGAAGGGGTTAAACACGTATGTTTCTCCAGCACCAGGCTCCTTTGGCTCTGGGGACTCTCCTCCTTCTTCCGACGTCATTGGCTGAATGCGCATGCGTGGCAAGAGCCGCGCGCGCATTCAGTCCATAGGAAAGCATTTCTCAATGCTTTCCTATGGACGCTGGCGTCTTCTCACTGTGACAATCACAGTGAGAAGTGCGGAAGCGCCTCTAGCGGCTGTCAATGAGACAGCCACTAGAGGATGGATTAACCCATAGGTAAACATAACAGTTTCTCTGAAATGTT